TCTTGTTTCTGGTTTTTGCACAGTAATAAGGCTTTACAGGGTGCCAAAATGTTTTATTCTTTTAAAATCTTTTTGTAGAATTATCTCTATCGCCCTCCAAGTTTGAATCTGAGTATATAACTGAATGTGAATACTCTGAATAACCCTAAAATGCACAAGGTCACAAGGGATGATCCATGCTTGCTAGTTGGGGTTTCCAATTTTAAAGATATTCTTCTCTAAGAGAAGCCACTTCGTGTTCAGCATCAACCAGATCAAAAAGAGAAATATTAACAGAACATTGAACTTTCACTTTGTTTCCCCCACAGTTCACTGTGAACTGGCAATAGTGCCACCTAGTGGCAGGTATTATCCACAGAGGTTACAAAGCAGTGATTTGTGTTGTGCATGTACATGTAGTAGGAATATAAGTGGTGGATGCAAAGTTTTCCTTTAGGAGATGTGCACTATTGGACATTTAGGTGATCATATTAATGATTTTATCTGTTGTAGAATTTTGCATTACTAATAATACTTTGATATAATCTGTTCCAAAAATTTAGTGTAAAGACTCTGTCAACAATGACCAGTACATGTTTTGTAAGAACAGAGGATTATGAACTGTTGTTGCTGGATGCTGCCCTCACGAGTCTACTTTCTTCACACAGTGTATGTAAAGTTAGCCTTCTTGTCCAAAAGAAAGGCTTGAGATGTTGCTGCATAGGGAACTACCGGTACCATAGTTGCATAGGTTTCAACTGGGATGAAAGAAATGCAAGTGTTAAAGAGGTTGTGGAATGCTGGAAGACATTTCCGTCATTTTTCGGGTAAATGTAGCCTAAGGTGTGATGAAATAAAAACAACTATTGTGTCTGTCATGAAATGAGTACAAAAGGTACTTTTGAGAGCTGTTTTTCAGGTCCTGTTTCGACCCGAACGTGCAATTTGTGTAAAAGTGGTCGTTGGGGGCAGCAAACAAAACATAGTAAATCATGACGTAATAAACAGGACTCCCGATGCAGCGTAGTATAAATTAGTCCTGTTTATTACGTCACGATTTACTATATTTTGTTTGCTGCCCCCAACGACGACTTTTACACAAATTGCATGTTCGGGTCGAAACAGGACCTGAAAAACAGCTCTCAAAAGTACCTTTTGTACTCATTTCATGACAGACACAATGGTCGTTTTTATTTCATCACACCTTAGGCTACATATACCCGAAAAATGACGGAAATGTCTTCGAGCATTCCACAACCTCTTTAAACATGGTGTTATTTTCAAATGACTTTTGAATTTTAAATGGCATTAGGCTTAAGTGGAAATGGATAGGGCTTCTTATTCCAGCTCCTTATGACTAAGACAATTCAACATGAGCTGATAAAAAAAAAAAATACGTGAATAGTGAAGTTTAGATTTAATCCTGTAACCCTGTGGAATGTTTGCAGTGTCTGAGTTGGACTTGTTGAAACTAAAATGTTGGTGAAAGTTGTCCAGATGCTACATTGACCAGTCAGTTGTCACCAAAATCAGCGTTCTCCTTGCCTAGTCCTTGCTAATAAGACCGCACTGCAGTTTTGCCACAGGGAAAATTGAAATTAATGACAAAATATGACCTAGACCACAGTATACAGTGTTTGGCTGTTGAAGTTTGTAAAAACATTGTGTCAGCTCTGTTGCAAGGCTAATGAGTGGTTAAGAGTGACTATGCTGCAAACAAAAACAGTCCATAGAAAAACCTCCAGGCTATTTTGTTCTGTTTTTTCATACCTCAGCGAATTGAAAAACCTTGATTTCTGTTGTAATACATTTTCAATTGCCTTTACAGTAAGAGTGGACCATTTGCAGCTATCCAAAAAGTAACCGACCAAGTTATTGTTAAAAAGCTTAGGCCAGAAAAAAAAATAGTTCTGCTTCCGATTACATGGCATTCAAAAATAGTACGGTAGGTAGGGAATGTTTTTTTTTTGGGGGGGGGCCAATTTTTTTTTTGTACGATCATATGGAGACGTATGCATGTAGTCAAGGGTAAAAGATAGAAATTGATGGTTTTTGGTGTTTTTTCCCTCATTTTTCCCATAAAAAAAATAGGGTAGGGGCTGTCAGAATAGGGTAGATAGGGAAACCGGAAGCAGAAGCCTTATTACTTGGTTTTGAGATCATAGTAATGAGACTAAACTCCCAGAGAAATTAGTCCTTCTGGCATGCTGTCCTTTTGAAGAAAACAATGAAAGATCTATGATTTTTCACTTCAAACTGTTAATCTGTTACATTCATTTGCTTGAAATGGTTTTTGTGGTTTTTATGTTGCCTTCTATTTATCTTTTATTGTTTCCATTCTACCTTTCATAAATTTCATTGTACTGCTTTTATTTTGAGAAGGATCAATTTACATGTAACTGTTATCAGTCAATTTGTCAATTCAAATCTTGTAGATAGGTCAGAATATCGAGTTACATGCATTGAAAGCTTTTGTTTTGAAGAAAACACCATTATTTCCTTTACTGTGGAGCTATCCTCAGTCTAAATGGCACATCAAGTGATGTGAGTTTATCAGTGATAAGACTTTGGCAGCTTGAGGTAAACATGTCTGGGAGAGTTTACCACAAAATGAGGCTTTTCACGCAATAGGCATTGGCAAGATGAGGTCACAGAGGTCATTTAGCCCACCAAAGAGGTCAGGGACCCCCCATTAGGCCTGTCTGTCACCTCCTATTGTTTTGAAGTGCTTGTTTATAGCAAACTTCCTCAGGATGGACAAGTGAGGGAGTTAGCGGTTTTTGAAATCCTGCCAATTGCATTTAATAAAATAATAACCATCATAAGTAGAGAAATATTTCCACAGGCCACATTTATGTATATTTCATATATAAGTGAATTTGAGATGTACTTTTGAGGTATGTCTCAAGATATGATGTTTTCTTTAGAAAGTTGAACAAACACATAGACAGAATTTTTTTTCAGGAATGCGTACCGTAGCCTGCTAGCATACTTGGGTTGGATTGTTCAGTTTGAGAATACCAATAAATAATTTCCTGGAGATTCCAGGTTTAAACCACACTCCAAATTTCAACTTAAGATTGGTAAAGATGCGAACAATGTCATGATCAGTTTTGAACTGTATATTTTCGAAGAACTTCTAACCTTTCAATTTTGTAGGTTTGAGAAAGACAACCAGGAACTGACACTGCAAATGATGCATCTTTGTACTGAACAGCATTCACAGCATTGCTTTTCACATGTAAACCCTAATTGCTTCCAAGGGAAGGTGCAATATCCATACAGAAAAGTGATCGATATGGTTTGGCCAGTGCTGCAGGCTCACAGATTGAAGGGGTTGAACTTAAACAGTTGTTCATAGTTAGCAGAAAGAGTGTGGTAGAATTAAACACTGTCATAGTTTATCTTCAAAAGTAAGCATGGAATGTGCAGACAATCCCTTGCTATCATTCTCGTAAGTCTTGGCGCTCTTTTGCAGTGAGGAAACCACACACACGCAATCTCATTCTCATCATATGTCTTGTCATCACCCTCACACTGACAGCCCACCATATGTGCCAAACATGCCTTCCCCAGCTCAAAAAAGTGCGTGTTTGTTTTCCTAATTTTTCCCATTTCTGCATGCATTGTCAACGTCATGATGAAGAGGACCAGATGCCAAACCGATAACGGTGATCGCGCTTCAAACTCCAGTCTGGTACCCTTGTCCCGGCAGTCCACCGCATACTCCTGATGTTTACGGGAAACAGACAGGTTGTAAACTGTGATGGGGCCCCGTCACTGGTGGGGTGACACTAATTTGGTGATTACTTTGTTTGTTTTCCACCATTAAAAGTCCCATTTCACTCACTAGGTGTAGCTCCCTGTCACCAGGAGATGTATACAAAGAATGTAGTAGGCTCTTGACTCGTCTAAAGTCAAGATTTTCTTGGCAAAATGCAAGTATACTTTGAAGTAGGTATTTCCGGATCTGCGAAGTTTTGTCCTGGAAGAGTCCGAGTGTTTCCTATTGTTATGTGGTCGTGTACACTAGGCTAGTAAATTTTTCTGTGTTAGCAGAAAGTAGAGAGAAATCAATTAATAATAATTACAAGTGAATTATCCGCTTACATGTAACAGAATTCAGTTTTTGACACAGGCATTATATCGACATCCACTGACATTCCTTTGCATGATTTTGTTTACAAAGATTTCGTTGAAAAGAGTATTTAACAGAAATATGAACTAACAATTGGAAACTATTTTTTTTTTTCTTTGTTCTCCTCATGCTATTATTTAACACATTTGCAGAATAATATCTGCTACTTGGTATTTTCTTTATTTTTTACGTCCCAATTCCATGCTACAATAAAAGCAGTTGTTTCTATGGGCTGAGTGCACAAACAAGAGAGGGCGCTTATTTATCACGCGAGCGTCATGGATGGGACACACCGTGCGCGCGTACTGGTTTGCACGCATGTAGCACCAAGTACGCACAACTAATTTTATTCTGAAGGTGTACAAAGCCATGACATCTTCGCCCGAGCGTCAGGTGTCGTCGGCAATGCGTTCGAAAATGATCACTCCAAGTGGTCACCCCCAAGTCTTCCTTCCTTACCATTGAGGGGGTACTTGTGCACAGACCAGAGCCCATTAAATGCAGCTAAGCACATTGAAAGAGAAATTGGTTTGGTCTGGTAGATGATTTCACCTTATTCAATTCAAATTTTAGATTTGAACATCACACATGGATAATTTCCAGAAGACGTCTTATTGCCATACACAACCCTATTAGCCATCTGTGCAGGTGTTCCTAAGAAACAAAGAGACAAGAATTCTAATTTCAAGGAAACAGACAGGCTTAGGTGCATTTACATTAACTACACAGAATTTATTCAAAGCAATTTTATGTCAGCTTTTTTCCCCTCAAAATTTGAAGTAATAGGATATCATTCTGCACTGTGTGTTTTGCATGTTCAGTTTCTGAAAGCAGTGTTCTGTAATTTGCCACTCTGTTTTTTCCCCTGTCTTCTCCTCTGCAGACTCATTCTAGTTGTTGGACAAGGTCAAAGCTGCAGACTCTGGATAGATAACCAAAGGTATGTTTTTCAATGCCGTTTTATTGTAAGTTGTGTGCATGAATTTAATGATAGAGTAGACCATTTGTAAGCTGTGCATTTTTTTCATTTGAACCAACAAAAGTGCTCGAATGACGGATGCTTAATAACTAACCTGATGAAGTTTTAGCTCCGTAAATGCTGTATATTCCCAGAAAACAGAACAAATATAAATAATATTCCGGATCTCGATTCCAATTCCAAAGTTATTGAGTCATATTTTGAATTGCACCCTCTCTTATGCATAATCCCAAAATCAGCATTCGGGACAAGATTCTCATTCAGCATCCAAAAAGTAACTGACAAAATTATTATGAAAAAGCTTACTTGGTTTAAAGGTAGTAATGAAAAACTCCCTGTGAAATTATTCCTTCTGGCATGCTGTCATTTTCAAGAAAGTAATTTCCAAAGATGTGTCAAGTGACTAATTTTTGGAACTTTCCGAGAATCTGTCCCCATGCATTCTAATTTTTAGCTAATAATTTTGTCAGTTACTTTTTGGATGGCTGCAAATGGACTACTCTATACCTTTAATGTGCCAGATTAGGATTGATGCCAGAGATGCATTCATATGGTCATTCTGTACATTTGGGGTCGAATAAATAAATCATTTAAGTCATTGTTACTTGAATGGCAAACTACAAAGTACCAGGGTAAAATGAACAGGGAAAATGTCACTTTAGTTTATAAATAACATGAGCCATAAGGCTTATAGCATACAGTATGTACTTTTATAAAGTAAAAGATAAAAGTGCAGATTTTTCTTTCCCTGTTTCCCCTCAGCCCAGTCTCCTTTTGTGGAGACAGGAGGAATTGAGAAGGGAACTTAGGGAAAAAGACTCATTTTCATTCTGTGCATGCTTGGTTACATTTCATGTATGTACTTTGAAATCGAAGACTAATTAAATACAAGTTGATGGTACGTCTCAACTGCACTCGTTATTCCTTTGAGCGCCGAAGTGCTCAGATTGCACACGTATGTACACCAAACTGAATGTGACTGGCCGCATGTTGGTAACTTTCATATAAAAATGTTTGACAGGAGAATTTGACTCGACCCCTTGTGATTAATTCGTTGCCAATTTCAGCTTTAGGATATCACTGTATCGTTTTCAGCAATGTGACAAATGATAGCTTGATTTTGTGTCTGGGCCAAAAGTGTATTTCAGATTAACCTCCGAAGTTGTCATAAACATCTTGATTTCATTTTTTCGGGGTCGGAGGTGGGAGCGGATGATGTTTCCCCAACGTCAGTTATGACAAGATTGTCTGACATGAGTGTGTAACTGAACTCACAAGCCATGACAGGGCTCATTTGTAAATGTGTCAGTTTTGGATCCAGAATGTTCACCTCGGGAAAGGTCAGTTGAGTTTGCCGGCAATGTTTGCTTGTTCTCTTGCAGGTTTCATAAACGCGTTGGATCTGAATCTGGACAACTCCTTGTAGTTTAGAGTAGATTATTAAAACATTGATTGTAAAAAAAAGTGAAAAATATTAAAAGTTTTGTGTAATGATTAATAACTGTTGTTTCCATCCCTTTATCGGCCGTTGTAAATGTAAATAATCCTGAGGTGTACGTGCAAGTACGACGTATTTGAAAACAAAATAGAAGAGTACAATATAGTCTGAGGAACTTTTTTTTGCAGTGTTGTGCATTTTCGAATAATTCAGTATTATTTGATTATTTTAACTCGAACATGATCGAATATTCAAATGTTAGAAATGCGCTAGCCTGAATCGGCTGCCTACTGGGCTTTGCGTGTGCCTGTGCTTGTCAAAAGTTGACAAAAAAATTATTGATTGTATATATCGGTAGCGGAATAATTAGGCAGATCTAAAGAAGGAATTTGACAAACAATAAAACCATGAAACTTAAAACAATAAAATAAGTAACATTGTGGTCGCTCTTCATTGTCACTCTTCATCAAATACATCAGTGAAGGGGTAAACCAAATAGTGAATTTACATCAACCAAACACAAATTCCATTTTATGAATACATGTAGCTTCACCATCTCATCAAGACTGCTCTCAGTTTTTGAATATTTGAATTGAAAAAATTCTATTCGGATATTTGGTGGATGATCGGATATTAGGTATATTTGGCACGAGCCTTTTTTTTCTAATATTAGTGCAGACAAGGACTTTATTGATCAAATCTCATACAATTGCAGGTTTAAAAGCTTGAAAACCTATATTCAATTTGGTCAGTTAATTAGGTGGATTGCAATTTTTTGGGTCAAAAGTTTGACACAATAATGAAACCACATTTGATGAAGGTGTTTCTTTAACAATCAATTATTTTTTTAGTATTCTAAGGTTTTTTCTTTCTCCCAACTAAAGCAATGAGGTCCAACTCCCCCTGGGCTTTTATATCCCGATCACATCCCACTGCTGACAAGTCCAATCCCCTCCGCAGTGGCAGGAGATTAAATTGTGGATTGAGCCTGTCCTCAGGGCAGTAAATCCGGATTAGGGGATTAGCACAGATATTTGGAAGGAGTGGGTTTTTTTGTGTGGCATGTCTGCGGTATGCAGGGACTCATGATGGGGAGAATTTTGAAGGTGTTGCTTGCATGAGGCACTGGATGTTGTATCCATGGGAACTGGTTTGAGTCATCCATTTGAAATGCATTGAAATCGCTGCAGACCCTGAGGGGTTTTCATATTGTACAGTCTATGTATCAGGTAGACAAATGTGTCATGCAAATGCATGTACACACCGTTCAGTTATTCCGTTGCATTCCCACTAGCATACATCCTATTGAGTTTTTGCATGTTAGAACTCAGTACTCATATTGATCAGTTAAATTTGATTTTACAAAGCTGCGTACACTTTCTGTGAAATAATTTCACGGATAATTTTGTTTGGATTCAAATATTCTAAAGCAGTACATATGTGTTTAATCTTTTGTAAACTGGTATCTGAGGCACATTCATTCAGTCAGTTAAAACGAGGGCATTTGGCAAATTTTGTCTTTTTTAAAGCAGGTGAGAATAATCTTTACCCTAGAATTTGATTCTCAAAAGGTTGGCTCAACTTGATACAGGCTATCTGTGCAAATGATGTTCGAATGTGGACCATTAGTCATTCAGTTGACCCACAAGTTTCTGCAAGGATTTTCACCTTGCACTTCTACATGTAGGACAAGGTCGACAAAAAAACTAAATTAGTGAGCCAAACAAACCTAATTCCTGCTTTAATGAATGTAATCCAATTACAGTGTTTTAACAGGACTTAAGAGGGCAGCGTCATCTCGCTCACCACGATTCGGTTTCTGCCGAGTTAAGTAAAAAATTAGCGCAGGTCATCCGACAAAATGATATTTGGAAGGCCGGGCCTGTAAGGCTTCACATGTGAGATCTCACACCGACAGGGGAGAGACAGGAGGTGTGACAACTGGGGTGAGACTCCCCAGGGGGTACCTGGCACAAATAGGGACAAATAAGGGTGGGGGAAGGTGGAATTCTCTACGTGTGACAGGTGCAGGCATACCGCTGGAGTTAGCCCGACTTTGAGAAAATATCATGTTCGGCCGGTCAGGTTTGGCGAGAGGTGGCAAGAATTGATTGCCGAGATTTGTTGTTTTGTGCCTGGCATATTTTCCCGTAATTTCATTTGGGCGGAGAGAGAAGGATCCTACGGTGGGAAAAATCCGCGGAGTCACTCTGTGGGGGACAATATTTCTTAACCTCAGAGATTTCGGAGTTTCCCTTTCATACAGGAATAGAGAGAACTGATTGAAACTGATGTTTTTATAGCAGTACCAAAATCATAACTGAATTGTGCTGACGAAGGACGTACTTCTGTCTTAACTTGAGTTTTGTACACTTAGTATGTATACGGAAGGCTAAGTTGTGAAGTCATAACACTACAAATAAGTGGAACAGGTACATCCTAGACTGCAAGATTTCAAAATATAAAACTATGAACATTTAATCACTTCCATTAGTATTCTACAAGTAATTACAACTTGCCTCCCCACATGATGTCTTTTAAATTAATTGCCAATTGTACAAACAAAAGGTTTTATCATTGAACAATGCAAGGTGCATAGTTTTTCAGAATGCACTTATTAGTCAGAATTTTCGAATCACAATATTAGGTTGTGGTTAAAATTTATATTCATTGTACATGTGCTACCGATACTTGCTCAGCATCTCCACTAACCAGAACATTCATCAACAATCGACACCTCCTCAGTCCAAAATGGTATGACCCATGTCAAAATGAACTCTGATTGGTCCAATTCTACAAGTTGAGTGAAGGGGTTACCGTCGCTGTGTGGGGCTTCGGCCATCTGCAGCCCGGGGACACCCAGCTCGTCCATATCAGATGATATTACCTTATAAAAGCTGACCGTTCTTGCATTGGGCCTTCATAGCGCCTATAATCCATGGTCAAGTCCACAACCCATGTTTTGATTTCAGGCTGTGTACCTGACAGAAAGGTATGCCCTAATTGAGAGCTGGGCATTGCATGAGGAGGTTTTTGGAAATAAATTCAAGGATGAAATTTGTTTTGGACACGTATTTTGAGGAACACTGTGTGGAACCTTCAGTGCTACAATCATTTTCAGTTTGCTATGCTTTTTTTGGTTAGAAGAAAAGATTTGTGGTGATGTTCTGTTTTAAGAGACTAGATGCAAATGATGTAGATTTACACAACTTTTCATGTCTTTCATCATCAGTAGTTATATAACTGACCACAACTCTAGAACAAACTCTTGGGAAACATTAATTTAAAAACATCCAATCAATTTGGTAAATCTTGCAGTTTTGTAAATTTTTGATAAACTTATTAAGTGAACAAGTGTGTTCTATTCCCGTGAACAACTGGACCCTCCCTTTTAAAACAAAAGTTCACCTGTAATGTAGTGTTTCCTCAGCAATAATTAGGTCCAAATGCACTCCCCTGAGTCCTACCTGATAGCACCCCCTATTGCCGCCCCCAAGGTTGAGAATACATATTTCTGTTGTCTTTGCCAGGTCATTGAGTATCCAGGTTCCAGGTAAACATCTTGGAATAAGTCAAGGTCTGTGGGGCCTTCTGGGGACAGCGCTATCACTCACTTGAACACAATCCTCCTGGCTTTTGAAGTAAGTTTCAGAGCTTTTGATTGCTGTGTGATTTTTGTTAATTTTTCATAAGATGGAATTTGCGTAGGGGTTATGTCAATTCAGTATTGGGATTGCCCTTCACTGATGTTTTTTAAACAAACGTGTCCCACACGAGTAGTTTTTGATTTTTTCCTCACAATCACCAGGACAACGCTCAGTATACATGTTATAAAATATGTCAGTGAAGGGCAAAACCCAATATTGAATTTTTAAATTAGTCGCAGCATAATGAATCACAAGCGATGATACGGTTTAGATTCTGAAAATATTTATTCAACCGTCTCCATAGTTCAACATGGCTCTATACTCATTTGCTTTTGACTTGAAAAAATATCCATCTGTTGAGTTGACATTTGTGTCTTCAACAGTGTCAGATTAAATATCATTGGTGAGTCAATGTTTATTCCTTGCTCAAGTGTGCACATTTATTCAAATGATTATCCATGCAGCTGCACAGTTGTGTTTCCATGGCAACACCCTGGACATTGAGGGCATTACGAAAGTCATATGTCCCGCTCAAGATGGGAGTGGCTGTTCTTGTCCCTTTGCCAAAACTGGAATGTGCAATTTTAGTCCAATATGGACATTTGTGAGCATTGAGCAACACATACAATAATTCTTATGATAAGAATAAAATAATCAAAATAAAATCAAAGACATCAACAGTTGATGTGGCGAGCAGAAATCTTGATTACTTTTTGAGCACCTATTGACATTTCAAAGTTCCTGTGATGTAAGTTTCTTAACCCTAAATCTCTTGAGTGTGTAAAAAAAATCATATGAAACTTGGGGGGTTCAGGACTGTTGATATGAACTACATTTTTGTTGTTTTTAAAAAAGTTTACATTTAACCATAGAGGAATAAGTTTTTTTGTAAGGAATAACTATTATATAAACCTGCTTTTTATTCTTTGCATCTATAGTCTATTTTATGATGGGTTTTCATTATTTAAGGGCTTGTTCATCGTTGAGCATTTTCAAACAAGTCATTTCCAATTTAAGCCAGATACAGTACACTGACATTTTGCCAAGAATGAGACTCCCAAAGTGTTCCTTAATTGTATTCATGTGAAGAGTGGCTCTGAACAGTTCCTGTAGCATGACAGAACTGAATGAAATGATCCCAGGAACACATGTTGGCAATACAGCCCATATGGATGAGAGTAATTTGTTTTCAGAGTGTAGAACATGACAGGGTTATCAATCAGCGAGCATTAAACAGATATCCAGATTCCTCTTAAATGTTATTGCCTATACAGTTGATGATACTTTTCCCATACGACCAAGAGTGCTAACCAAATAGGCCTGCACGAACTTGTACTCGTTCTTCATCCAGAATATCTTTATGAAAGTAGTGTGATGGGTTTTACTAGACTGCACAAAAAGTTGGACTAACCCAAAAATCAAATTCAGGGGTGTTTTCTCCCTTGTGAAGACATAATTGATTAAGTTTCCAAGCGGTAAACTTTGAAGTTTAATCAGTGGTGTTTGATTTCAGTACATTACTATTTGGAAACATACTGGTTGCCAAATGCTGAAGTATAAATGCGGGTTATTTTGGGAAGACTTTGTTTTTGGTTCACTCCTTGTTACACCTGCTGATATAATCAAATCATGAACAATAAAAGATCATACCCCAGCGGAGAGATCCCTGGGATCCATTTAAGACCCTCGTTTCTCATCACACCATCTCACTTAGCCCCAGGCAAGTCTAGCCGGCTTGACCCTTCACACTCCCATCCAATCCCCTGCAGCAAGACTTGCCAGGAGTATTTTCTTAAAGCGGCAACCAAGTGACCTGCGTCCAGGACAGGTTGGGGGGGGGGGGGAATTGGGGCAACAGACTCAGAGCCATATTGTTAATAGATCAACGGCTGTCTCTAAAGAGTAGTGAGTTTGTGAAGACTGAGGAAGTGAAGTGAAACTGACAGCAAAATTGATCAAACAGATGATTTTTTTATTATTATTAATTATTGTCTTTACCCATGGCCCCATTCTCTATCAGCGCAGTCTTCCTTCATCCATTCTCCAGTCTAGTGTGTTTGCTGGTGTTGATCACAAAGTTTGGAATCAGATCAATTTCAAAGTCGTCAATTAAAGTTTTTAAGATCAGATTAAATAAGTTTACAAGCATTTTTGTTGGGCAATTATTAATAAAGTGTAGGCCTATATAGTTGCCAGATGCCAGCAATGTGAACTTTTTTGTTCAGAGGTGTCTGAACAGTTGGATTTTTGAGGTTGTTTTTGAACAGACTTAGTTCTGTAGAAGGCATGAGAACTAGCTACAAAACAAAAAATAAACAAAACTGCCCCCCCCCAAAAAAAAAAAAAAACCCAAACAAACAACCAACCCAACAAAAAAACCCAGAAAACTGATCTTGATTTAGCAAAACAGAATTGCATTACCAATAGACCCAAGAAAAGTTTTAAAATCAGGTTCCCTGAAACCATCATTTCAATTGATTTCCTCCCTCCCACATTTTTAATCTGAATACCAGGTCTGCTTTAGTATGCCAATGTACATGTACCTACAAGTTGTAGCTGCTGTCCCATTGAGGGCCTTTGAAGAATGGGGTCTCCTGTCATCACAGGCCTATTAGTTGAGCTCATGTGCCAAGTTTCCCCGTGGAGGAAACTGATTCAGCCCCAGGAGTTCAGGCCAGCCAGGGCTTGTTGAAATCGGCACAGGTATAAAGAGAACAGTAACTTTCTTCAGCAACTTTAATTGTAGGTTAATTAGAGCCATGGCCAATTTTGTGCAGACAGCTTGTGTGTTTATGATGTGTAGGTGTATTGGGTGACCTGTCCTCCCTGACAACTTCAGATGCATCGTACATTTAATGTGCCTCTTAGAAAACATCACAGAATTTGTTTAAAGGAATAATTGATTTAGCTTCTTGTGATAGCATTGGCTTGTGGAATTCATGTAGGAACAGCAGGCACTCTGTGGCCTACTCCTAGAGCTAACAGTGAAGGTCTTGGTGCGTTTATGACAGGTTTGACTTTGGAGTAGGGGCATGCATCAGAACCGGTTGCCTGAGTACCCGACCGTTGATGTCAGGAACTGGTTCCAGATTATGAAATCGGGTACCTGTAACCAGCATTACAAATTACTTAGTAACTTCTCAGTCAATGAAAAAGAAAGGTTTTGAATGTCATTTGTGGGTAATTTTCATAGTAAAAACCAGGTATCATGGGAAAACAAAACAAAAATCACGTTTATGATGCTCGCAAAAGTTGCAGTTTACACCGTAAAGCTATCAAGCTCACTGTACACACTTGTATCTTGCTGTATTAATGCACCGATGTGGTAGTATTATCGTGCGGACCTTCATGAACGATCTGAACAGCAACTTCCAAGATTTGAATTTTGGGGTTGGGTTTCTCAAGTTGTACTCGAGTTGTACTCGAGTACAAGTACGAGTACAAGTACTCCAACACTGCGTACTACCCGTAAATGCACACCCCTACTTTGGAGGACACACCACTTTGGGCCCAACCCTGTGATGTCTTTCAGGGAGTGCTGGGCACAATGAAGCAATGGTGTCTGTCCCAACTTTCCTTGTCACTGTTTAGGGGTACGTTTGCTCAGCGACCTTGCGCGCTAGCAACAATGACTGTGACAATAAACAAGTTTAAAATTCTATTTGGTCATTTATTTCAGATTCAGCTTGGAGGATCTTCTCAATGATCTTTTATTTCAATCTAAACGTATGTGGCACGGCCTCAAAATGCATGTTCTCAACCCCAGTCAAAAGAATATTATTTTTCCTGATCAAACTTGAAGTCCAAGGATCTTTCTTGTCACTCCTTTATGTACATACGTGTGCGTGTAGTGCAGATTAAGATTAAGATTTGGGCATTGAGGTTTGTGTCCTCAAAAAAGTCACGCTGGAACGAAACAGAATACTGGAGCTGCTCTTACCTGGAGCCATGTTGTTTGTAGGTTACAGTAATCGCAGCCATCACCTCACTGCATTCCATAGACTGCTTCCTATGGGCGACGACACCAGCGGCTGTTTACTCACATGTCATGAGATGACATTTTATTTTCAGATCATCAAACCGCACTAGTCACCTTGTTCTATCGCGTGACAATCTTAAGAGTGATGTCTACTTGTAAGAGATGTTGTCTTGATGGTTGGCTTAGAATAAGACAAGCTAAATGTGGATAAATGGGCCCAGGGAGGGTTAACTGAGAGAAGGGCAGATTGACGCGAAACTTGTACAGCCTTAATTTGGGATTGGCTCTTAAACGTTTTTGTTTAAATAGCTTCTTGTGCATTTTCCTCTGATGAGGGAGGGGAGACGACAGGAATGGCAATAGGAACTTTAGAAGTAGCAGGATATTTGAGTAGTTTTTACCTATGTTAATTTGTGAGAACATTTGGTGGTTTCTCCTGCGGAGAATTTGATGTGATATTCAGTGAGTTTCTTTGCAAGGATGAGGAAGCTGGAGGGAGGATCTAAAAGAGGAATTACATCTTCCTGAAGTCTCTGTCTCATAATTAACCCCTTTGGTTCAGAGACTGCTCCTTAAGCTGTACATGACCTATCCACAAATCTTTGTGATCTCCTCAACCCTATGACACCCTCGAACCCTTTCTCCAACCTGTACAGTGATAGCTGGCATGCAGTATTCATGAAAATCTTTCCTATCAACTTCAGGCCATATTTTTACTGGGTCGCCAACTTTCTTTGGACCGGCTTCTCTGAATTCCCTCGTCAGCTTAGTGCATTGTTTATTCACGTGGCGGACTAGAGGTGCAGGTTTGGCCCTCAGTGGTTCACTCCTCTCTAGTTTCGTCCCCGGTGTCCAACTTTCTGGCAAATTTATCCTGGTTCCGTTGAGATTTGATTCTGTACCTGGACTGCATGTTTTTTGTGGTGAACTTGCGGTATCTGTACGAGAAAGGTCAGCGTGTTCTGTTTCAATATCTTGTGCAGAATGTGATCACACTGACAAAAAAGAAATATAT